TTTTTTTTTTTTTTTTTTTTTTTTTTTTTGAGATAGGGTCTTGCTCTGTCACCCAGGCTGGAGTGTGGTGGCACAAATACGGCTCATCGCAACCTCCACCTCCAGGGCTCAAGTGATCCTCCCACCTCAGTCTCCCGAGTAGCTGGGACTACAGGTGTGTACCAGCTACAGGTGTGCCCAGCTAATTTTTGTATTTTTTGTGGAGACAGGTCTCACCATGTTGGCCAGCTGGCCTCGAACTCCTAGCTTCAAGTGATTCTACCTATTTCAAACTCCCAAAGTGCTGGGATTACAGGCAGGAGCCACGGCACTGGTGCACCAGGTAATTTTTTTTTTTTTTTTTTTTTTGGATATTAAGTCTTGCTCTGTTGCCCAGGCTGGATTGCAGCGGCATGATCTCAGTTCACTGCAACCTCCACTTCCTGAGTTCAAGTGATTCTCCTGCCTCAGCCTCCTGAGTAGCTGGGACTACAAGCCTGCGCCACCACACCCAGCCAATTTTTGTATTTTTAGTAGAGACGGGGTTTTACCATGTTGGCTAGGATGGTCTCAAACTCCTGACCTCAGGTGATCTGCCCTCCTCGGCCTCCCAAAGTGCTGAGATTACAGGCGTGAGCCACCATGCCTGGCCATACCAGGTAAATTCTAAGTGTATCAAAATGTTAAGTGTAAGGCCATTTGTAGTGGCTCACACCTGTGATCCTAGAACTTTGGGAGTTGGAGATGGGTACGATTGCTAGAGTCCAGGAATTTGATACCAGCCTGGGTGGCAGTGAGACCCTGTCTCCTAAAAAAAACAAGAAAACAAAAAAAGAACCAACCAACCAACCAAACAAAAAACCCAAGTGTAAAAATCATAACAAAGAAAGTATTCAAAGAACATATAAGTGAATAGTCATAGAATAGGCCTTTTAAGCAGAAAAGCAAAGTGAGAAACAAAAACTAATACTAATAGATATAATTAGATAAAATTCTAAAATTATGTACAACAAAACATCACCACCCTAGCCTGGCCAACATGGCAAAACCCTGTCTCTATCAAAAACACAAAAATTAGCCAAAAGTGGTGGCATGCGCCTATAATCCCAGCTACTTGGGAAGTTGAGGCAGGAAAATCACTTGAACCGCCACTGCACTCCAGCCTGGGTGACAGAGCAAGACCCTGTCTCAAAAAAAAAAAAAAATACCACCACCACCCCACCACCAACAACACATAAACAGCATTAGAGGCCAAATATCAAACTGGGAAAAAATACATGAAATGTATGACAAAGGGTTAATATCTTTAAAATACAAAGATTTCTTACCAATGAATAGAGAAAGTTGAATATTCCAGAAAAATAGGGCAAGGACATAAATACAGAACTTACAAAGAAATACAAAAGGCCAGTGCAACCTTGCTTATAATCAATAAAATTCAAATTAAAACAATGGAATACTATTTTTCAGCAATTAGATTCACAATGATTTTAAAAGTAATTACTATTGATAATTAATACCAATTAATATAGAGAGTTTAGAAGCTGAACCACTGTTCTTTACTGCTGGTGCAAGTTACAAACTTACAACCTTTCTGGAGTGCAAATTTCATGAAGAGTCAGAATTGTTTTTTTTGTGACCTAAAAGTCAGTTTCTAGGAATACAGCCTAAAGATATCATCACAGATATGAAAAGAATACAAAGGTTTTCATTACAATGTTATTATGCTCAAGAATTAGAAAAAGCCTAAATATTAAAAAAAATGAGAAATTGTTACATATTTCTGGCATAACCATATGGTGGAATATTATTTGATAATTAAATATTTAATGGTTCAGGGAAATGCCCATCATATAATAAGTGAAAAAAGAAGAATACTAATTTTTATATACAGTGTGAACACAATTTTGTAAAAGAAATAATTTTATATATATTTATATGTGTCTGTGTGAGTGTGTATATGTATATACATGAAGATTCATAGGAGGAAAACTATTAATCATTATAATCCATGGGTGTTGTGCTACGGGTAATTTATTTTCCTTTTTGTACTTTTCTGTATCGCCCAAATTTTCTACAACTTATTCATATTACTTTTTTTCACTGGGGTCAAACATACATAAAACGAACCATTGTAACCATTTTTAAGTATATGTGCATTACTTTTTTTTTCTTTGAGACAGGGTCTCTCTCTGTCACCCAGGTTGAAATGCAGTGGCAATATTATAGCTCACTGTGATCTCAACCTCTTGGGCCCAAGTAGCTGCGTCCCAGGCACAGGTACACACCACCATGCCCAGGTAATTTTTTATTTTTAGTAGAGACAAGGTCTCACTATGTTGTTGGGGCTAGTCTCAAACTACTGGGCTCAAGTGATCCTCCCATGATGGCCTCCCAAATATACATTATTTTTAAAGTTAGAAATACTTACTTAAAAAAAAAAAGATAAGCGTGCACTAAGCAGACTTTACATTTAAGCAGAAAAGCAAAGTTAGAAACAAAAGTATAGTAATAGCTATAATTAGATAAAATTCTAAAAATATGTACAACAAAACCCTACCACCATCGACACATAAACAGCATTAGAAACCTAATGTTGGCGGGCACGGAAGCTCCTGCCTGCAATCCCAGCACTTTGGGAGGCTGAGTTGGGCGGATCTCCTGAGCTCAGGAGTTTGAGACCAGCCTGATCAACATGTAGTGAAATCCCATGTCTACTAAAAATACAAAAATTAGCTTGGTATAGTGGCACACGCCTGTAGTCCCAGCTACTTGGGAAGCTGAGGCAGGAGAATGGCTTGAATCCAGGAGGAGAAGGTTGCAGTGAGCTGAGATCGTGCCCCTGCACTCCAGCCTGGGAGACAGTGAGACTTTGTCTAAAAAAATAAAAAAATAAAAAAAGCTAAATATCAAACTGGGAAAATGACAAAGGTTTAATACCTTTAATGTATAAGGACTTCTTACCACTGATTTATTTATCTGTTTGGACAAGGATAGGAAAGGAATGCCACCCAGACAGATAAAAGTTTCAGAGTGGAGTGGCATTGTTGAGTGTAATCATAGTGTGTTTTGTCTCAAGGCAGCTTTGATAAGCACCTTCAGGCTGTTCAGTGCTGAGGTAAGGGACGGCCCAGGGCAGCCGGGAATACTACAGAGGGCAGGCAGGAGCAGGGAGGGGCATTGAGCAAGGAGGGTAAGTTAGAGCAGGCGTCCCCAAACTTTTTACACAGGGGGCCAGTTCACTGTCCCTCAGACCGTTGGAGGGCCGCCACATACTGTGCTCCTCTCACTGATCACCAATGAAAGAGGTGCCCCTTCCTGAAGTGCGGCGGGGGGCCGGATAAATGGCCTCAGGGGGCCGCATGCGGCCCGCGGACCGCCATAGTTTGGGGATGCCTGAGTTAGAGTCACGGGGAAAACCAAACCCAGCTGGGACTGATCATTTAAACTTGGATTCGGCTGACCCCAAATTAATTTCCATAGAGTTCTTCCAGGAATATATTGCTTGTATAAATCAGGGTTTGCCCAGAAGAGGCCACAGAGACAGGCTAGCCTATGGAAGTGGAATTGTTTTTAATTTTAATTTTTTTTTTTTTGAGATGTCTTGCTCTTGTCACCCAAGCTGGAGTGCAACAGCATGATCTCGGCTCACTGATTCTTTTGCCTCAGCCTCCTGAGTAACCGGGATTGCCTGCCACCACCCCTGCTTAATTTTTGTATTTTTAGTAGAGACAGGGTTTCGCCATGTTGGCCAGGCTGGCCTCAAACTCCTGACCTTGTGATCCACCTGCCTTGGCCTCCTAAAGTGTTGGGATTACAGGCGTGAGCCCCCATGCCCAGCCAATTTGTATTTTCAGTTCTGTGGTACACGTGCAGGATGTGCAGGTTTGTCACATAGGTGAACGTGTGCCATCGTGGTTTGCTGCACCGATCAACCCATCACCTAGGTACTAAGCCCAGCATGCATTAGCTATTTTTGAATTTTAAGGGCCTGAGCGGGGCTAACAGAAGATACAGTGCCTCAGCCCTGCTAGGATTCTGGGCCTGCCCCCACTGTACAGATACAACTGTTATCCATCCAACCTTATTTGAACCAGTCCGATTTTTCTTTCATCAAAATTGGTTTATTCTAGGCTAAGTCAATTACTCACTGTGGAACCTCTGATTCTAGGATTTTGCCTCAGGGGTCTCACTAAGATGCCACCCCATTTTAAATGCAGTTCCTTCCTCAGTGAGGGAGTCAGGGATGCTGGAGCCTTGTTAGTTATAGCTCCTAGCTTATGTTGGTCCTATCCAGTCTGCTTCACTGTGGTAGGGCACAGTGAGAAAAGCAAGAGTGGCATCCTAGCTGTAGAGGCAGCAAGAACAGGGAGCATTAGCAGGCTGCATTTCACATTCTACTCTCTGCTGGTCTTGGAGGAAGGAGAGACACAAGTGATATAATCAGGAAGACAGGAAAGAAAAGGCAGTTTCATCTGGAGGCTTCTTTTTCTTTTTTGGAGACAGAGTGTTTCTGTGTCACCCAGGTTGGAGTGCAGTGGCATAATCTCCGCTCACTGCAACCTGCGCCTCCCAAGTTCAAGTGATTCTCCTGCCTCAGCCTCCTGAGTATCTGGGATTACAGGCACCTGCCACCACCCCCAGCTAACTTTTGTATTTTTAGTAGAGACAGGGTTTCACCATTGGCCAGGCTGGTCTCGAACTCCTGACCTCAAGTGATCCACGTGCCTCAGCCTCCCAAAGTGCTGGGATTACAGGCGTGAGTCACCACACCCAGCCTGGAGGCTTCTTAAAAGACCAAAAACAGAGGATGGGCATGAGGAGGCAGTCTTCGGTCTAGCCAATAGCCCTGAAAATAGCAGCAAAAATGCCACAGAGTGGGGGTTTGCACAGTATTTGTGTGAGCAGTTGGAAGCTCCCTGGAAACCTGGCATCACTTGGGGTCAGTGTTCTTTGCTGTTGTTACCCACCCACAAACACTGCAAAGCATTCCACCCCCACCCGCCCCTATAACTCCTCACCTGCATCTTTCTCTTCACAGTGTCGAAGGGAAAGGAGAGGGTCTGGGTCACTGCAGCAGCCAGACAGACATTAGCAAAGTTCTGCGGGAGAGAAAACTGATCTCGGGGTCCATTCCAGATTTTCTCCAGGTTCATGTAAACAAGAAGGGAGCCAGCAGAGAACGGGAGAGCACCTGCAAAACAAGGCCAGGAAGAGGCTGCTGCTGTCTTGGGAAAACACCGGTTTGAGAACATAAATGCCTGGGGGAGGGGGTTCCAGAGAAAGTAAACAGGAGGGGCTCTAGGCTTGTTACAATCCCTCCAACCCAAGGAGCTTGAGGGAACTTTCTTGAGTGATGATAATCTATTTTGGTAGGGGTTGTGTCATTTGTCAAAATGCATCAAATGGTTCACTAAAGGTCTGTCCACTTTGCTGGATGTAAATCACACGTTTAAAAATAACATACATGGGCTGAGCGTGGTGGCTCATGCCTGTAATCCCAGCACTGTGGGAGGCCAAGGGGGTGGATCACCTGAGGTCAGGAGTTTGAGACCAGCCAATATTGTCAACATGGTGAAACCTCGTCTCTACTAAAAATACAGAAAGGAACTAGGCATGGTGGCAGGCACCTGTAATCCCAGCCACAGGCTGAGACAGGAGAATTGCTTGAACCCAGGAGGCGTAGGTTTCAGTGAGCTGAGATCATACCACTGCCCTCCAGCATGGGTGACAAGAGCGGAAGTCTGTTTCCAAAAAAAACCAACCAAACAAAAAAACAAACAAAAAAAATCCATAAATATTGAACTCTAGTTAATCATACACATGTTGAAGGGTTTAGGGGTGAAGTGTACTGATATCTGAAAGTTACACTGAAATCATAAAACAAACAAAAAAAGATGGACTGGCTGGGCACAGTAGCTCATGCCTGTAATCCCAGCAATATGGGAGGGATTGTGATCTGGACTGGCTGGGCAGTCTGTGGACTGTGGACTAGCTGGGCACAGTAGCTCATGCCTATAATCCCAGCACCAAGGCGGGCAGATCACTTGAGGTCAGGAGTTTGAGACCAGCCTGGCCAACATGGTGAATCCCTGTCTCTACTAAAAATATAAAACGTAACTGGGCATGGTGGTGCATGCCTATAATCCCAGCTACTTGGGAGGCGGAGACAGGAGAATTGCTTGAACTGGAGAGGCAGAGGTTGCAGTGAGTCAAGATTACACCACTGCACTCCAGCCTGGGTGACAGACTGAGACTCTGTCTCAAAAAAAAAAGATGGACTGATGAATGGCTGGACAGATGGGTAGCAAAATGTTAACTGTTGCATCTAGATAGTCCATGGGTGTATACTCTACACTTCTTTTAATTTTTCTGGATGTTTGACACTTTTTTTTTAATGGTGGGGGAAAAATCACTCCAGTAAAAAAAAAAAAAAAAAAAAATCAGTGGGCAGCACCTCATTATGTTTTGGAGGACAGGAGGGACTGATCTCTAGCTGAGAAGGAAACAGTCTGTGAAAACTGGAACGTGAGAGGCTCTTGGTGGTGAGGGAGGTCACCTGACCTCACCTTTGGGAATGATGTGATCTTATCATGGCCCAGTGGGTACCCTACATTGTATGGCTTCCTCATCTTTCCAGGAACTGAGATGATGAGCAAGTAATACAGTAGGTATCACTTTCAGAAACTTCCAGAAACTTCAGGAGCCATCTTTGGTTTACAGAGGGACTCAATTTCTCCCTCAAAATGAAATTTAAAAAGGGGATAGGCCGGACGTGGTGGCTCACACCTGTAATCCAAGCACTTTGGAGGCCAAGGCGGGTGGATTACCTGAGGTCAGGAGTTCAAGGCCAGCCTGACCAACATGGTGAAACCCTGTCTTAAAAAAAAAAAATAGGGGATAAGTGAGATTGCTTATCTTTAGAAAAATGTAATGTTTATTTAATTGGCTCACCAACCTTCCATATACCTTCATTCGGAAAACATCTGGAAAGCTTAGGTTATGTGCCGGGCCCTATGCCAGGCACTGGGAATTGAAAGAGGAGCAGGCTAATTTCTGGAGATGCTCATCATTGAGGAGAAGAGACAGCTAGGGAAAACTAAGTATAACACTACTGATGTGTGCCACAACAGGGGGGCTCTACGACATGCATTAGGCACACAAAGATCAAAGGGATTCATTGTGCCTGGCGGAGTCAGGAGGGACTTGATGGAAGAGAGTACTTTTGATTTGGGTCTTGAGGAATGAATAGGGCTTCATGAGACACTGACAGAGTGGAAAGGCAGAGGGAATAGCATGTATAAAGGGAGTGGTATTTCCAGGAAATTCAAGTTTTTCTGAATGGCTGGAGCATGATTGCAGGTGGAGGTGTGGCAGGAGATGAGGTAGGATTGGCATGGGCCAGGTCAGAAGCGTCTGAAATGTCCTAAGGAATCTGGGCTTTCTCCTGTAGCTCAGGAGTCACTGAATACTTTTAAGGAGGGCAGTGAAATTAGGGCCGTGAAACGATGAAACTGTACGTGGAGAGATCACGTCAGCCGGGCAGCAGTACACAGGGACTGGGGCAGGAGAGACCAACAGTGGAAGCAGGTAGGAGCTGGAGTCTGTGGGAGATCCTGATATTCTGAGTCGCAAGAATCTGTGGGAAAGAGGATGAGCCAAATTGACAGGACTTGGTGATTCAAGTGGGGATGGAGTGAGAGGAGAAATTGAAGTGATCCCTAGGTTTTTTTCTGGCTTGGGCCATGGGGTGAAAAGAAGGTAGTCTCATTCATTAGGGAACACAGGAGGAAGAGTTAGTTTGAGATCAATGAGGACATCAGGGTTAGTCTTGAACTTGATGTGCCTAGGGAGCATGGAGGTGAAGGTGTCCAACAGCAGAGACTCATACTACCATTTGGGAATTGGTATTGGTCAGGGGATAACAGAGGGCTCTGGAGTTCTATTGCTAGTTTCTCCTGCTTTCTATCTCTGTGGCCTTGGGTAAGTCACTTAGCTTCCTGAAGCATCTATCTCCTCATCTGTAACATAAGGCCTCATGAGAAACTGCGTGCAATGCATTTGGCGCAGTACCCAACATGTGGTAAGTACTTCCCCTGAGAAGTTGGTCACTGTTATTAAAGAGGTAGAGAATGAGAGTCACGGAGTACAGTGACACTTGTTTAAGCCACTACCATAGATGAGGCCACTCAGGGAGGGTTTGGAGGATGAGAAGCAAGCTAAAGGGAAGGGTAAAATGAAAGCTAAGGAAGGAGCCCAAGGGAAGACCAACATGTAGGAGCTGGCAGTGTCAGATGACCCAAATGGGCTGGGTAAGTCGGATAAGAGCTGCCAGAGAGATGGGAAGACACCCAGGACTCGGAGGGCTCCTGGAAGCCAAGTTTCCAGAAGAAGGGGTGATCAACCTTATCAAATGCTACAACCAAGGTCAGATAAAGGGTAAAAGTCTACTGGATTTTGCAAATGGGCCATAAATGTGTAGCTCTGGCAAAGGTTACAAAGACCTCAGAAGACACAGTTGCTACCCTAGTTGCCCTCATGGCATAAAAACGTGTATGCACACTGAAGACTCCTTCTGCAGTCAGATGGAGAGTGGTTAGGATTGCATTCCTACCAGTTTGCTGAGTCACCTCCACTTTCTGTCCTACTCCCCTCTTGGGGATATAACTGGCCAAAGTTTAGGAGTGAGGCCGGGCACGGTGGCTCATGCTTGTAATCCCAGCACTTTGGGAGGCTAAGATGGGAGGATCACGAGGTTGGGAGTTCAAGACCAGCCTGGCCAACATGGTGAAACCCCATCTCTACTAAAAATACAAAAATATTAGCCGAGCGTGGTGGTGTGCACCTGTAATCCCAGCTACTTGGGAGGCTGAGGCAGGAGAATCGCTTGAACCCAGGAGGCAGAGGTTGTATGAACTGAGATGGTGCCACTGCACTCCAGCCTGGGCAACAGAGTGAGACTCCATCTCAAAAAAAAAAAAACAAAAAAACCAAAAAAACAAAAAACAAACAAACAAAAAAACCAAAGTTTAGGAGTAGAGTGTATGACTATGTAATAGAATGAAACTAGTTGGCTCTATGTAGGTTGAATCCATACAACCTTGACCTAAGTAAAACTGATTTAGTGGCTCACGAATGTATACAATACATTTGTATATTTCAGAGGACACAGCCTTTTCTTGGACAAGGTGAAAAGGTCCATCTTACCTACAACAGTGAGGGAAACCCCTCGATAAAGGGCCAGGAACCCTTCCTGTTGGTAAATAGTAGAAAAAGCATGGAGGAGCCCCCTGTACGATGGTTCCAGCATGTTCTGTACGATCAACCGGGTTTTGATAAGGTCTGTAGGATATGTTACAACGGTGGAAACCATGCCTGCAAGACTCCCAGCCATGATGGAGCTCCACTGGGAAATGTGGCCCAGGTCATCTGTGAATAGCACCACAAACCTGGGAGAAAATAAGGAAAAAGGCCAGAGGAATCAGCTAGGGATTGTGCTAGAGTTCTCTCCACTAGTTCTTGAAATATTTTCCAGCATTTCAAAGTGCTTTACAAAGTGAAAAGTTAATACTATGTAAACATTCATGAATAACATTTACATTTTTCTGTATTTCTGTGATGCTAACTTAGCAATAAGGAAGAGATACCTAACTTTCTTATTTACATCTATCCCAAGTCCTTCCCACTTTAAGCATTTTCTGCTTTTATCTACCTAACTATCAACCCTGGCTTGCCTGTGGGGTGTAAATGCACAGAAGTACCTGGTAAATATCAAACTGGAGTGCAATCTTTCAGTTCTGTTGAAACTTGAATAAAATTTCTTGAAATGATAACTTTGAGTTTCTCAGTAATTGTGTTTTTTTGTTGTTGTTTTTTAGGCAGAGTCTCACTCTGTCACCACCCAGGCTGGAGTGCAGTGGCATGATCTTAGCTCACTGCAACCTCTGCTCCCCAGGTTCAAGCAATTCTCATGCTTCAGTCTCACTAGTAGCTGGGACTACAGGCACACACTGCCATGCCCAGTTAATTTTTGTAATTTTAGTAGAGACGGGGTTTCACCATGTTGGCCAGGCTGGTCTCGAACTCCTGACCTCAGGTGATCTGCCTGCTTTGGCCTCCCACAGTGCTGGGATTACAGGCGTGAGCTACAACACCTGGCTGAGTTTTAAAAATATGTTGGTTGAATAATTATGAGAGAAGATGTTTGCCTCACTGTCAGTGAAATGACAAAAACAATAACAAGATATCATTTCTCACCCCGCAGATTGGCAAAGATTAAAAAGTCTGATAATCTCAACTGATGGTGGAGATGTGTACAAACAGGAACTCTTACCCAGTGCGGAGAGAAATGTAAATTTGTATGGCCACTTTGTAGTATCTAGTAAAATTGTAAAAACATCTACCTTTATCCCATTTCTAGGTGCACCCCCTAGAGAAACTCTTGCATGTGTACATACAAAGACACAGCAGTATGAAAAACAAGCTAAATGTCCATCGCAGGCAAATGGATAAATAGTGGTATCATCATACAATGGATGATATTTATAATGGGTACTAAATGAATGAGCTTAGAATGAGTTTATCAATATGGATAAACATAAAAGCATAATGTTGAATTAAAAAGCTTAATATTTTTTATATGAAAACTAACTATTTACAAATACCCACAAAACAGTATCTTATATTATTCATAGCTGGAAACATACATATGAAGCATAAAAATAGACTTTTGGGAAAGTAGAGAGGGGATGGGACTGGGAATGAAAATAATGAGGTCTTCAGCTTTATATATATATATATACACATATATATATACACACACACACACACACACACACACACACATATATATATATATATATATATATATTTTTTTTTTTTTTTTTTTTGAGACAGAGTCTCGCTCTGTTGTTCTGGCTGGAGTGGAGCACAGTGGCACAATCTTGGCTCACTGCAACCTCTGCCTCCCATGTTCAAGCAATTCTCCTGCCTCAGCCTCCCAAGCAGCTGGGACTACAGGCATGTGCCACCACGGCCTGTTATTTTTTTGTGTTTTTAATACAGACAGGGTTTCACCAAATTGGCCAGGCTGGTCTTTAACTCCTGACCTTGTGATCCACCCGCCTCGGCCTCCCAAAGTGCTGGGATTACAGGTGTGAGCCACCACGCCCGGCTTCTTGCCCTCTTTTTCCCTCCCCAAGGTAGGGCTCTAATCTGATTGTGGGTCAAAAGATCCTTATTCCAAATCAGTCCTTCCCCATACTCTAGAGCAAGCTTGTCTAACCCATAGGCCACAGGCTGCATATGGCCCAGGATGGTTTTGAATGTGACCCAACACAAATTTGTAAACTTTCTTAAAACATTATGAGATTTTTTTGGCGATTTTTTTTTAAAGCTCATAGCTATTGTTAGTGTATTTTATGTGTGGCCCAAGACAATTCTTCTTCCAGTGTGGCCCAGGGAAACCAAAAGATTGGACACCTTTGCCCTAGAGAAAGGAATGCTGCACAGAAGCCAAGAAGAGTCTGAACAGACGGGCCTTGCTGGGTTTAGATCATGTGCTTTTTGTCCATTCACATGTCTGCATGGTTGTCAATCATGCCTCTGTAACGAAGCTTCCATAAAAACCCAAGAGGACAGGATTTGGGAAGCTTCTGGATGGCTGAACACGTGGAGGTTCCTGAAGTTTGGTGTGCCCAGGGAGGGCATGGAAGCTCCACACCCCTTGCCCCTTACCTCACCCTTCACATCTCTTCATCTGTATCCTTTGTGGTATCTTCTACAGTTAACTGGTAAACGCTAAGTATTCCCTGAGTTCTGTGAGCCACACTAGAAAATTAATCAAACCCAAAGAGGGGGTCTTGGGAACCCAGACTTGAAGCTGGTCGGTCAGAAGTTCTGGAGGCCTGGCTAGGCATGGTGGCTCAATCCCAGCACTTTGGGAGGCTGAGGCAGGCAGACCACTTGAGGTCAGGAGTTTGAGACCAGCCTGGCTAATATGGCGAAACCCCATCTCTACTAAAAAAAAAAGTTACGAAAATTAGCTGGGTGAGGTGGCGGGTGCCTGTAATCCCAGCTACTTGGGAGGCTGAGGCAGGAGAATAGTTTGAACCCAGGAGGCAGAAGTTGCAATGAACCAAGATCATGCCACTGCACTCCAGCCTGGGTCACAGAGTGAGACTCAGTCTTTTTTTTTTTTTTTAAAGAATTTCTGGAGGTCTGGACTTGTGACTGGTGTCTGGTGGGTGGCCAGTCTTGGTGACTAAGCCCTCAACCTGTGATATATGATGCTATGTCTGGGTATACAATGTCAGAACTGAATTAGAGGACACCTAGCTGGTATCCATTTATTGGAGTGTTGGGGAAAACTCCCACACATTTGGTCACAGGAGTCTTCTGTGTTGAGAGTTGTTGTGGTATGAGAGCAGGAAAACCCCAGTTTGACCGAGTTTTTCCCAAACAGCTGGTATTCACTAATAGACCATCTGCCTCAGTTGTACTGCTTGCCTGCCTGCTTCCTCATTCCTCCGTCCTCTCTGCCCTGGAAGTTGGAGGAGAACCTTAGGAAAGGCAGGGGAAACAGAGGAAGTAGAAATTTTTGACTGAAGGGGTGATCTGCAGCAAGCTGGAACCCTAGAAGGTAGAGTTTGAAATGCCCAGAGAAACACCATCCATTGTCCTTGTCCCACTCTTTTTTTTTTTTTTTTTTTGAGATAGAGTCTCACTCCGTTGCCCAGGCTGGAGTGCAGTGGTACAATCTTGGCTCACTACAACCTCCGCCTCTCAGGTTCAAGTGATTCTCCTGCCTCAGCTTTCTGAGTAGCTGAGACCACAGGCATGTGGCCAATTTTTGTATTTTTAGTAGAGATGGGGTTTCACCATATTGGCCAGGATGGTCTCAAACTCCTGACCTCGTGATCTGCCCACCTTGGCCTCCCAAAGTGTTGGGGTTACAGGCGTGAGCCTCCGCACCTGGCCTCCTTGTCCCACTCTTATTCCCCATCCCACCTGGTCACTTCTAGAGCACCATTAATACATTACCCATTTATTGAACATCTACAATGTAGCAGACCCTGTGTTAGCCCTCAGCATAGTGCCTAAGGGAGTTCAACACTTCTGACAACGATATGACAGGTAGGGGCAAGTGGAGAGGAAACAGGCCGTTAATTCACTGAATGACTTGATGAACTAGGAAAATGAGCTGTATTTTATGTCAGTTTCGGTTTTGGTTTTTTTTTTTTTTTTTTTTTGAGACGGAGTTTCGCTCTTGTTACCCAGGCTGGAGTGCAATGGCGCGATCTTGGCTCACCGCAACCTCCGCCTCCCGGGTTCAGGCAATTCTCCTGCCTCAGCCTCCTGAGTAGCTGGGATTACCGGCATGCGCCACCATGCCCAACCAATTTTTGTATTTTTAGTAGAGACGGGGTTTCACCATGTTGACCGGGATGGTCTTGATCTCTTGACCTTGTGATCCACCCGCCTCGGCCTCCCAAAGTGCTGGGATTACAGGTGTGAGCCACCACATCCGGCCCTTATATCAGTTTCTTTTATAGGGTCTCAATATCAAATACACACAATTAAAAAGAAGAACCATAGGAAGTCCTTTTTTCTCAGACTTCTCCCATCTGATACAGAGATAAGGCCTACCAATTGTTCCCCCTTAGAATTTCAGAGTCAAGGCAGGCAACCCTGATAGTCCACCAGTGACGTCATCCTGCTCGGGGCATCTTAAACTCTTGCCTGATTGGCTAGGGTGGCAGTGGTCCCTTTTCTGTTCTTCCTCCCACCCTCACACATACATGCACAGAAGCTTTTTCCAGTGAGACTGGATACACTGGAGAATTGCAGCAACCCTTTCCTTTTAACCAGCACAGACACAACACACACCCTGGATATATGTAATTAGAACTGCCAACACTTCAACCTAACAGGTTAGCAGGAACCGCAGCCAAACACAAGCTCATAAAGTGCTTATTCAATAAGGAAATAGTGTTGGTTATGAACAATTTCAGAGCTTCAGGGACCCAAACTGATGTCTAATAGACAAGATAGACAATCAGTTGTAAAGTTACAAGTGTGGGAGGGTCTTCTATTTGATACATCTGAAAGCCAACCATTACAATAACCCAGCTCCCAATAGACTACTGAGTGGACTCTTCATTGTAAATCCAACTAAGGAGATATTTCTGCTGTGTGATAGTGGACAGAGCCCTGAATTAAGGAGCCAGAAGACCTAGCTTCAAGTTCCAGCTCTTCCATTAATTGTGTTTGTGGACAAGTCACGTAACCACCCCATTCTCCGAACATTCTGGATGTTAATGTTTTGTTCAAACTAATGATCACAGGCCCCCAGCCAAGCGTTTTGCAAATTCATGGTCAGAAAAGAGTAGAAGTGAATCAGTATCTTGATGAATCAAGAGTATCATGTTTATGGAGGTAGGACAGCAGCATGATTAATCAATCACTTTGCTTTCCAACTATACCTTGCCATTTATCAAAATAATTACTTTCAGTTTCCAGAAAGAAAATAATCCTGTAGGGGAAAAAAACTGCTAGCAAACCTAGCCCAGGGAAGTCTCTGTTCTTGTTCTCCCACACATCTCCTCCCCTCTCCTCCCACAGTCACTGACCACCGGTGCCCTCAGCTGCCATGTGGACCAGGGCAACAGGTTCCTAACTCATCCTGCTGTCTCCAGTCTTCCTCCGCTCTACTGGTCTCACTTGGCCACCACGTGATGATAATTTCCATTGAATTGCTTTAATCACAACACTCCTCCCCTCACCACTCACAAAAACCTCCCACGGCTACCCTAGGATACCAAGTCAAGTCCAAACTCCTTAATCCAACCCTCTAAGATCTCATTCCAACCTGCTTTTCTGGCCATATTTCCTGTTCTGCTGCTTGCCTTCCTACCTCTGTGCCTTTGCTGACATCACCCGCGGTATCTTTCTCCCCATCTGTGCCCAGCAGACTCCTACTCATTCTCTCAATGCCAAACTCAATTTTTTTCCCTCCTCTATGAAGTCTTCACATTTTCTCCTCGTCATGGCTCATCAGAAGGGCACATTTACAGAGCACATTATCCATGACAATCACATGTTACCTTGTGCGTTATGGTCATGGCCATATTAATCTTATTCTTCTATTACTCTGTAAGCTCCTGGGGCAGAGGGACTATGACTGTTCCATTTCGGCATTGTCCTCAGCATCATGCACACAGTGAGGACTTAATAAAGTCTAACTACATTAATGCCAAAGGGATGCAGAGAGGCAGCATGATTTAATAGAAAGACTGTGAGATCTGGAGTTAGAAGGCCAGGTGGTGGAGCGCGGCTCTGTCACTGACCAAGTGGTGTGATCACTCAGAGCCGAATTCTGCATCTGTCAAACAGGCACAATGCTTCCTGTCTTCTGGACCTCACAGGGCAGGAGGCAGGAGCTATAAAAACCTAATGATGTGCATATACTAGGTGGTTAGAAGAGCCAGAATACTTAAAGCAGCCTTTGAAGTTTTGTTCCCCATCCCTCTGGACATATTTTATCCCATCCAAAGGAAGATTTCCATACTACTTTGTAGAGAAGAGGGTGAAGTGGGGGAAAAATTGAGTCATTAAGACTTAGAGAACTGATTTTTTTTTTTTTTTTTTTTTTTTGAGATGCAGTCTCACTCTGTCACCAGGCTGGAGTGCAGTGGCACAATCTTGACTCACTGCAACCTCCGCCTGGCAGGTTCAAGTGATTCGCCTGTCTCAGCTTCCCGAGTAGCTGGGACTACAGGCACGTGCCACCACTGCCAGCTAATTTTTGTATTTTTAGTAGAGATGGGATGTCACCATGTTGGTCACAAGGGTCCCGATCTCTTGACTTTGTAATCCACCTGCCTCGGCCTCCCAAAGTGTTGGGATTACAGGCGTGAGCCACTGCACCCGGTCCAGAGGAGACCTGTTTACAGCCTGCAGGCCAGATGTTGATGAGGGCAAGTGGAGGTGGGGAGGAAAAAGGGCCTTGTCGTGATCCTATCCAGGAGTCCCTCTGCAGAGGAAGAGAAGAGAACTCTATTTCCAGGCAGAGGCAGAATGAATACTGGCATAGAGGCCTAGATGATAAGGATGATTCCATTCGGCTTGTCAGATGCCAGGGGAGCCTTCCAGCTCCGGCATACCAAGTGAGTGACAGTGTCAAGGCAAAATCCTTTGACGATTAGCTGTCAAGGCTAAACTACATGGTCACGACCGCCTGTCCCAACTGTGGGCTGTTTGTCTCGTTCAGAGCCAAGGTGATTTCAGAGATGCCACTGTGTCCACTGAATGAGGAACACAGGGACCATCCCCCCAATAGAGAAACATCTCTGCTTCCTGAAAGGCCACCACTACCAATTCATTCTTTTAGGCTTGGTATCCACTTCAAATGCAGGTACCTCTGAGCTCGGTGGAAGCCCTAAGACTGCATTTACACCTTTAGCTAAGGAGCAGCTATTGATGTGGGAGAAGGTGGAAAAGGCCCAAAGAATGAGGCCAGGGGTGTGTAGTAGCAGGCTGAGGGGCCGTTCTCAGCTTGGGGAGGGGAAGCTGCAGCCTCTTTCCGATCCTGAAGTCAAGCTTTACTTAAGTTGGGGAGATGTGTGGACAGCCATCTCCGGCCTTTTCGTAAGGATGGATTGGGTCCTTTTCCTATACCAAGCACTTTCTTCTTGGGGCTTGGGTCACAGAAATACCCACACTTTTGAAAGGGTCTCTGTCCTCCTAAGCCAGCCAACGCAGAAGTTTCCAAATTGGGGGATGGTAGGAATGGTTAGGACTCATCTCTCTGGAGATCTCTTCATTCCTTTCCCACAAACCCTTTTGCTGCATTCCACCTCCTCGCTGGGTCCAACCGGGAAAGCCTCTCTGGCAAGGGCTGAGGACCACAAACTGTATCTTGCGCGGCGGGAACCCCAAGAGAATGTGAAAAACGTTGGGACTGCACTCTGGGGCCCGTAGAGGTGGCCCACCGCCCCGAGGGGCACCCCGTGATCGGCAAGGGGGCCGTGCCCACCCCAGGGCCCCGAGTGCAGGCAGCGGGCCGCGGCCACCCCCACCCCACCCCCACCCCCACCCCCGCCCGGCTCTTACTTGCGGTAGGCGGCGAGCTGCACGGCGCTGCAGGGGAAGAGGCGCAGGCACGCCACTGCGTTCCCCTTCCACAGGGCCCGGGGCCCCTCTGCCCGCCACACCCGGTGCCCCGTGGCCCACGGCCCCCGGCCGAGGCCTCGCACGACGCCAACCTGGGCCAGCACGGTGGCGAGCTCTAGGGGCGCGGTGAGGCTGAGGCTGAGCGCCCCTGCCAGCCCCGCGCACAGCAGCCTTTGGCCGCCGGTCAGCCGGCCGTCCCGCCTCCACGTCGCCATCGAGCCCGGGCCCTGCCCGGGGAGATCCCGTGGCTTGGGCCTGGGACTCTCAGGCCACGAGCGGAGGGGGCGGACCCTAGGCCCCGCCCGGCGTGGGGCGGACCAGCGTGAGGGACGGGCCCATCCACGCCTGAGCCCGGCCCGAGGCTGGAGGGAGTCGGACGTGAGGGCCAGCAGGGCCCGGGGTCCCAGGCCTCTGATATCATGGCTATAGTCTCCCCAGTTGGCAAAGCTGGAGTAGCGATTTTCAGTTGCGAAACCGTCACTGTTTTCTCAAGGCCCAGCCTGCTAGACGTCTTCCTGAGCTCAGCGCACGCCCGCTGCCCCTCGCTGCCTCTCTGGTTTGCCCCTTTTCTCCCTTTCACACCCCACCTCTCTCTCTTCCTCCCTTGGCTCTTCCCTCCTCCTCCTCCTCTTCCCTCCAACCTCTTTTTTTTCCCCCTCCTGCCTCACCAAAAAAGCCTTGATGGTTTCCCGGTGCAGAAGGTTAAAAACTACCAACCACAGAACCACAGCTGCTAGCTTTTTGTTTTTGTTCCCTTCGCTTTTTTCTGACCAATGAAACACAGCTGCTATCTCTCAGGCACTTGTCAAATACTGGACTCTACAGACGTTCTCATGTAATCCTCAAAACGGCCCACAGTACGAGTATCCTCGTTACCAGAGGCTATGTGGGTGTGGGAATTTGAAGCTGGACTCTTGAACCTGCGTTAAGGATCTTGGCTCTGCAGCTTATTAGCTGTGTGACCTTGGGGACATCACTCAACCTCTCTGTTCATCATTTGCTTTATCTATAAAATAGAGATTGTAATTCTTTCCTCCTCGGGGTTGTTGTAAGGATTGAAGAACAATGACTCGTACAGGCAAGCAGGTTATATGTCTTAGTTCTGATTAGATATTCTTTTTTTAAAAAAATTAATTTTTTTTTTTGAGACGGAGTTTTGCTCTTGTTGCCCAGGCTGGAGTGCAGTGGCGTGATCTCGGCTCACCACAACTTCTGCCTCCCAGATCCAAGCGATTATCCTGCCTCAGCCTCTTGAGTAGCTGGGATCACAGGCCTGCGCCACCATGCTCAGCTAATTTTTGTATTTTTAGTAGAGGCTGGGTTTCGACATGTTAGGGGCTGTTCTGGAACTCCTGACCTCAGGTGATTTATCTGCCTCAGCCTCCCAAATTCCTGTGATTACAGTGATGAGCCATTGCATCTAACCCAGATATTCTTTTACATAAGAGTAAACCAAGACACAGAGAGGACTTGCTCAGGCTTATACAGCTACCTGCAAGGCAGAGACCAGTTTCAAATTTATGTCAGTTTATGTCAATTTCCATGAACAGCTACACTATGCGTCTACTAGGACTGCACAGTTAACTCCAGTAGGGACATTTTCAGTGGTTCTGTAAGCTAAGAGGACAATATAGGTAAAGAATGGTTAAGCGGGGCTTGGACAGAATCCAAGGATTTTTAAAATCAGTTAAAAATTTTCAAAATTTCAGATTTTCTTTCTCTCTCCTTTTTTCTAAAAAAAGCCATGTCACTAATACTTACAAGGAAAGGAACAGTCAGCTGTCTGTTGGCGTGAGCAAGATATCCTGGGTACATAGTTGCTTTTAGGCTTGTGTAGTTATTTACATTTACTAACACACAATGCTAGAGGGATGTTTTCTAAAAGGCATTGCAGGGTTTCTCCTTTTTTATTTTTCACTGTCAATATCACTTGAGTAAGACATTACAAGGTTTTGACTGTGAGAACTTTTTCTAGTTGGCAGAAGCCTTGCTCTGGTCTCAACAATTGGGGAATGCTTATTTTCATGTTTTATGAATTCTCCTGTCTTGCTGTAAGCTAATTTCATGGCTGGGGGAAGCTGGAGAAAGATTTATGACTCTGAAGACCTGAGGACCCTGACTTTAAAAGGGCTCGAGTTGGAACCGGCGGGTACCAGTACTTCCTAAAGCCCTTTGTTGGACAAGGGGACAAGATTCTAAAGCTCCTTCAGGAAGTTTCTGGGTCTGGAACATTTCATGCGATAATCCCATTGTATGGAGATTGGATCAACCAAGTTATTTATTTGTTTATTTATTGAGACAGAGTCTCACTGTCGCCCAGGGTGTAATGCAGTGGTACGGTCTCGGCTCACTGTAACCTCTGCCTCCCAGGTTCCAGTGATTCTCCTGCCTCAGCCTCCCAAATAGCTGGGATTGCAGGAACCCGCCACCACGCCCAGCTAATTTTTTGGATTTTTAGTAGAGACAGGGTTTCATCATGTGGTCCAGGCTGGTCTTGAGCTCCTGACCTCAGGTGATCCACCCGCCTCGGCCTCCCAAAGTGCTGGGATTAAACAGGCAGGAGCCACCACACCCGACCCGTTTTTCTTTTGTTTTAACACGAATTTTGTGTGAGAGCTTCAACTACATTAATCTTGGGGATCAAGTATACCCCCCAACATACACACATTTTTTTGGGACAGAGTCTTCCTCTGTCACCAAGGCCAGAGTGCAGTGACATGATCTTGGCTTACTGCAGCCTCAACCTCCCGGGCTCTAGCCATCGTCCTGTCTCAGCCCCCAAGTAGCTGAGACCACAGGCGAATACTACCACACCTGGCTAATTTTTTTTTTTTTCAGAGATGAAATTTCACCATGTCATCCAGGCTGGTTTCGAACTCCTGAGCTCAAGTGATCTGCCCGCATTGGCCTCTCAAAGTGCTGGCATTACAGACCACTGCGCCAGCCATGTTTTCTTTAGCCCTGCCATTCTTCTTGTCTTCAGGAAAAATAAGATGTTCAATTGAGCCAGAGACAAGAAGAGTCATTTTAGTCTTCATACTTATTGGCCAAAAAAGACAATGAACTGATATTCTATTTTAACCTTTTTTTGGAGACTGAGTCTTGCTCTGTCACCAAGGCCACAGTGCAGTGGCATGCTCTTGGCTTACTGCAGCCTCAGCCTCCGGGGCTCTAGCCATCCTTCTGCCCCAGCCCAGAGTCTTATTCATCTGCTTAGTATTGGGCACCTTATGTATATTGATCCTAAATAAATAAATCTGAGGATATCCTGGATTCGGATTTCGACTTGTAGACTCAAGCCAACCTTACTGCCTCTTTTTCACGTTTGTCGAAAAGTCTGTGGAGAACATAGTAGGTTAATGATCTCCAACTTTGGAAAATGTACGTGATGTGAAATTGGGGTGCTCTGCTAAAAAAATCAATGTATGATAACTAAAGAAAAGGGAAGAGGCAGTGAGTGAAAAAAAAATTAGAAGTTATATTGTTTAATATAAGGAGAAAGGTGGCCAGCTGAAAGCTAAGCCATAGGCGACCTCCTGTTGCCCCAATCAGGGCATCTCCCAAAGTGCTGGGATTACAGGTGTGAGCCACCACGCCCAGCCTTGTGTGCCCTTTTATACAGTTTTTAAAATTCTCCAGCTTTCATTTTTCAGTTTATCTTCTCACCAACCGAAATTTCAGTACATTGCTTTAGTTTAACTTGCTAGTATTTCTTAAATGATAGTTTGTCTTGTTATATTTATACTAATGTTGATTCCCACTCTCTTAATTTTCTTTTATTTTTGATTCTTTTGGAAAAGAGTCAAAAATATCAATAAATTATAAAAGTAGTATATACCTGTTGTACCAAGACAAATAGTCCAGAAGTGTATTAAAGAAAGTTAAGCTCCCCTGCCCACGCCCTGAGGTAACCACAGTTGAGCTTGGTGTGCCTGTGAATGTTCTTCCTCATAATTTTTTTCATGCTTAGACATATATATATATATATATATATATATATATATATATATAGAGAGAGAGAGAGAGAGAGAGAGAGAGAGAGAGAGATGGATTGCAATGTGTGATTTGGCTCACTGCAACCTCTGCCTCCCTGGTTCAAGCGATTCTCCTGCCTTAGCCTCCCTACTGGGGCTACAAATGCATGCCACCACACCTAGCTAATCTTTTGTATTTTTAGTAGAGATAGGGTTTCACCGTGCTAGCCCAGATGGTCTCCATCTCCTGACCTCATGATCCGCCGGCCTTGGCCTCCCAAAGCGCTGGGATTACAGGCATGAGCCACTGCACTGGGCCTTGGACCAATAAATATTTATATGGGGTTGCTTTCTCCTCCCTCCTGCCCTTCCTTCTTTCCTTCCTTCTTTCCTTCCTTTGATACAAAAATAAAATAATACCTCTGGAAGGATATCCAAAAAACTGATAATCAGGTTATCTTTGGGGAAAGAAACCAAGAGACTTGGGAACAGAGGTGAAAGGGAGATTGAGCTTTGACTAAGTGCCCTTTTCTTTTATTTATTATTTATTTATTTATTTATTGTTTTTGAGATGGAGTCTCACTCTGTCACCCAGGCTGGAGTGCAGTGGCGCAATCTCAGCTCACTGCAACCTCTGCCTCCTGGGTTGAAGTGATTTTCGTGCCTCCCCAGTAGCTGGGACTACAGGCACACACCTCCTTGCCCGGCTAATTTTTGTATTTTTAGTGGAGACAGATTTTTACCATGTTGGCCACGCCGGTCTCAAACTCCTGACCTCAAGTGATCCACTTGCCTCAGCCTCCCAAAGTGCTGGGATTACAGGTGTGAGCCACCACGCCCAGCCTTGTGTGCCCTTTTATACTGTTTATTTTTCCCCCCTCTTTTCTTTTTGCTACGGACATGTATTATTAATTAAACAAAATTCTCTTCTCCATCAATTTTCTCTGAAGGTGCAGTGTTTTCTGTGACATTGCCTTGCCATTGGTGAGGTTTTTTTTTTTTTTTTTTTTTGTCCTTTTAATGACACATCTTTATTTCATTGCCAATTTTTTTTTCGAGATGGAGTCTCAATCTGTTGTGCAGGCTGGAGTGCAATGGCGTGATCTTGGCTCGATGCAACCTCCATCTCCCAGGTTCCAGCGATTCTCCTGCCTTAGCCTGGGATTACAGGTGCCCACCACCACACCCAGTTAATTGTATTTTTAGTAGAGACAAGGTTTCTACATGTTGGCCAGGCTGGTCTCCAAACTCCTGACCTCAGGTGATCCACCCAGCTCAGCCTCCAAAAAGTGCTGGGATTACAAGTGTGAGCCACTGTGCCTGGCCGGCAACTTGAAGTTCTAA